GCTGCTGATACATTGGTCGTTTTCTCCTGCATTTGTTAATGCGATTGTGATAGGTGGTCCAAATCATCTGCGAAGTTTAGTTCGTCCAGCTGCATCCTAGGTGTCCACTCTACCCATGCTTTCCCTCAGATTTTGACGTCTTTATTATCCAGTCGATCTTCTGAGGCACTCCGTAGTGTCGAAGAAGCTTCCATAGTGTTGTTCTGTTCACGCTGTCAAATGCTTACTCGTAGTCATTGGAGTTGATGAAGAGTAATGAGTTTCATTCAACTGACTGTTTCACAATGATCCGTAGAGTTACGATTTGGTCTGTACACGATCTATCCTTACGGAATCCTGCCTGTTGGTCTCAAAGTTGGGCATCTACGCAGTCCTTCATTCGGTATTTTGATCAGGAGTCCTCCTTTCCCGTCTTTTGGTATGTTGCAATGTTGTCTAGTCCAGCTGCTTTGCCACTCTTGATTTGTCTGATGGCCATGATGATTTCTTCAATTGTTGGTGGGCCAACATTGATTGGGAGGTCAGTGGGGGCCACTTCGATATTGAGTGTGTTCAGTTGGCCTGGTCGATTCAAGAGTTTATTGAAGTGTTCTACCCACCCGTTTCGTTGCTCTTCAATGTTGTTGATTACATCGCCTTCCCTGCTTTTCACTGGTCGATTTCCAAAGAGTTTCTTTGTTACGTCATACAGTTGTCTCATGTTTCCTTCTCTTGCAGCCTCTTCCGCCTTCGTTGCTGAATCTTCCACATATTTCCGTTTGTCAGTTCTGATGTTCCTCTTCACATGCTTGTTTACTTCTGTGTTCAGCTTGTGCCTTGTCTTTCTCTGCTCATGTTCGCTTGGTATTGATTGCTACCTTCTTGTTCCTCCTTTCTTGAATCTTATCCAGTGTATCGACAGTGATCCATTCCTTTTGATTGTGCTTCTTGTGGCCCAGGACCTCAACACACGTTGAAGTGATTGCCTCTTTGATCCCCTTCCAGTTTCTCTCCATAGTAGTTCCTTCTCCATTGAGTAGATCATGAAAGGCCTGGAACCTATTGCCGAGAACTATCTTGAATTTGTTGAGTTTGGCGGTATCCTGAAGAAAGGCCGTATTGAACTTTTGTGATATTGTCCGCTCCGTTGTGCAGTGATTCTTGAGTTTCAATTTCATCTTCTCGATCAGCAAGTCATTTTCTGATGCTAGGTCAGCTCCTCTTTTGGTTCTCACGTCTGCCATCGTACTACCGAACTTTTTGTTGATGCAGAAATGGTCGATTTGGTTTTGTGTAGAGCGATCCGGTGAAGTCCATGTGGTTTTGTGTATGCGTTTATGTGGGAATATGGTGCCGCCAATGACCAGCTTATTGAAGGCACATAGATTTGCAAATCTCTCACCATTTTCGTTCCTTTCTCCCAATCCGTGTCGTCCCATGATGTCTTCATATCCAGCGTTGTCCGTTCTAACCTTGGCGTTGAAATCTCCCATCAGAATGGTCAGGTCCTTTGTTGGGCACTTCTCGATGATTGACTGCAGCCTATCGTAGAATCGATCTGTAGCGTCTTCATTGTAGTCGTTGGTAGGCGCATAGCATTGGATGATGTTCATTGAAATGCCCTCTTTCTTTGTTTTAAACGAGGCTTTGATGATCCTTGGTCCATAAGATTGCCATCCTATAAGTGCATTTTGTGCTTGTTTGTACAGCATCAATGCAACTCCTTGTGTATGTGTGGCATTTACTTATTCATGGACGGAGTATAACAGGAGCTCTCTTGAAGTTAGTCGTTGTTGTCCAACTTGCGTCCAATGTGTTTCACGGATCCTAAGAACTTTTAGGTTGTATCTCCTCATTTCTGCAGCAATTTGGAAGGCTCTCCCGGTGTCCCACATTGTACGAACATTCAATGTACCTAAATAAATGGTTGCTCTGGTTGTCAGAAGAGGCATCGAAGGAATTCGGCTTTCATCATGAGGTGTCATAGTTCTTCTAAATGAAGACCTTCTGACTCCCAGGGCAGAGATTAAAAGGTTTGAATAATTTTTTCTGGTTAGCGTTTTTTTAGCGAGTTAGTTTTCTACGGGATGGTGACGCTAACCTCATGCCCAACCCTCCTCCTTTATCCGGGCTTAGGACCGGCAGTAGCCCTCGGAGGGACTCCAGGCGGAGTTAATTTTACAGAATGGACATAGATTAAAGGGTTCAGGAGTCTTTATCCGTAAGAACTTGCCGTTAGCAGACCGCGTAAAAGGATGGGAAGCCGAAAAAGCACTGCAACTTAGGGTAGACGCTGACGAAAAGGACCCAAAAATTGTAAATTTTCGGGTTGTGAGTCTTCGACAGGGAATGATGCCTAAACCAATCTGAGCGAAGTACGAAGTCACTTAAATAGGCTTCATATCTGTTGCACCAATGCCCGAAGTTTACTCAATAAGCGATCGAAACTAGGTGTACAGATTGACTCTACAAAGCCAGACATAATCACAGTAACAGAAACCTGGCTGACACAGGCTATAGATAGTATGGAACTTGATTTCGAGGGTTTTACGTTAGTAAGGGCCGACAGAACACAAAAGCGCAAAGGAGAGGGAGTAGCTCTATTCATTAGGAATGCTATCCCATGTGCCATTATTGATAGTGTATCCCATGAGAGTGGGACGTGTGAATTAGTTAGTTGCAGCTTGAAATGCAAGGGACAAGAGCTGCTGATTGGTTTGGTCTATCGCAGTCCAAGCTGTGAGGCAAATGAGATCCTGTTAGGCAGTCTCAATACTTGGTCCCAAAGTGGTCGATGTCTAATCCTAGGGGACTTCAATGCACCTATGGTAGACTGAGAAAATCTGCGAACTAAATCGTCAGAAAATTCTTTCGAGCGGGAACAAGTTGATGGGGTTATCACATGTGCTCTAGTGCAACATGTGAAAGAAGCGACAAGGTACGATGCGGACACTGAATCATTCTTATTAGATCTTATACTGACTCACTATAAGGATGACGCTGCGAACCTCCATTATATGGCACCCCTGGGTAAAAGTGATCGCGCAGTTTCAACTTTCGACTTCCATATAACTGCCAGTCACGAGCATGCGTCAGTCCAGTCCAGAACCAACATCTGGAAAGCAAACATACCAGACATCATGCACTCAGCATCGTTAATAAATTGGACAATAGACCCAGAGTCCTCCATTGAAACGGCCTGGGACGCATTTCGAAATTCATACTTAAAAGTTACCACACCTCACATCCCTTGGACTATACCAAGGGGGCCGAAAAACTCACCACCATGGTTCAGTAGGGAGGTCCTTATCCTTCTCCGTAAGAAAAGGAAAATGTGTGATAGATTTAGGTTACTGGGGACTGATGAGTCAAAATCTCAGTATCGAAAGGCTCGGAATACTTAAGCCTCGACCCTCCGTAAGTCTAGAAAATTGTACGAAGGAAAACTTGTTAAGGAATCCATAGAATGTCCTGAACGCTTGTATTCCTATATAAACCAAAAAAACAAGGAGAAAGGAAATATTCCTGCTCTATGGGGAGACAGTACTGCTTCATCATTAGTGGAGGACGACTTTGGTAAGGCTCAAGCGTTCTCGAACTACTTTAGCAACGTGTATACCATAGAAGCGCCCTTCTCGTCAGCGTATACAGATCCCCCCATACATACACTGGATAGCGTGACCATTAAAGAACTCGATGTCTTTGGTCTACTAAATAAGCTTGACATAGGTAAATCCACGGGGCCCGATGAATTACATCCTAGGCTACTGAAGAAATTATCTAACTTCGTTGCGAACCCTTTAAGTGTGTGCTTTAACTTATCCATAACGCAGGGTCGTTTACCCAAAGACTGGAAAAACGCCATAGTAAGTCCTGTCTTCAAAACAGGTACGAAACACAAACCTGATAATTACCGCCTAGTTAGCCTAATTAGTGTGGTTGTTAAAATATTAGGAAAGATTATTCGGAACAAGCTGCTAAAGTACCTCGATGAAAACCAGATCCTTTCGGAGAAGCAGCATGGTTTCAGAATATGTTACTCTTGTCTCACTAACTTATTAGTGGCTCGTGAAAGCTGGTACGCTCTTAAGGACTAAAAGTTACCTGTAGACGTCGCCTTCATTGATTTCAGCAGAGCTTTTGACAAAGTTCCTCACAACCGGTTGTCATATAAGTTAAGTAATGTTGGGATTGTAGGCAATCTATTTATGTGGATAAAAGACTTCTTAGTTGGGCGTCAACAAAGAGTACGGGTGAGTTCAAAGTTATCTAGCCGGGAAACTGTGCTTAGTGGAGTGCCCTAGGGTACAGTTTTGGGGCCAGTGCTATTCCTCTTGTATGTAAATGACCTTCCTCGTTTCCTATTATCATTGGTTCTGCTATATGCCGACTATGTCAAGATATGGAGAACAATACAATGTGAGGGTGATAGCTTAGAACTCCAAAATGGCCTCAAGAAATTATCTGAATGATCTCAAACCTGGCAGTTGCCGATAAATTGTTTCCATTAAATCAAACGCGTTCTTTTGATAAAAGTAGGTCACTACAAGGTTGTAGCGTGGTGTCGAGTTGAGGTCAACTATGAACACCGCTACAAAGAAACACGTGCCAAGTAAATCAGAAGGCGTAGGTTGAACGTAACCAAATAGGTCCATAAGATCCCCGAGAAGCCAAATATCAGAAGGCAATTAATGGACCAAATCAAGATATATATTTGCTGGCGATCTCGTGGCATTGAAAGGATACCGAGATCGTGCCAGGATACAAGCTTGGTTACAGAACGTAACCGAATTCGCGCAAAGTTACAATCAAAGGTGTGTGTATAGGAATGGAAGCAAAATATAGCTGTCATTAGCACAGTCAAACAAAAGCACAATAAAACAAGCACTAGTACAGTTGGTTATAATAATAATAATTGTTTTTATTAAACCAGTCGTGTTCTCGTGATAAATGTGAGTCACTACAAGGTGATGAATTTCACTCAACGACAGGAAAAAGATATCATGCATCATCACGATGGCATCGTTTTCGTTACTTTAAGAATGGACGTCATCAGACACATTGTGGCTGAACTCAATCCAAATCTAAAAGTGTATTGATTTGGCCGCTTCTGCAAAACTTCACAAACTGTCGAAGTGACGCACCAATCGTTTTACAACAGCTTGACCTTCAAGTGCTCAGCAACCTCCAAAGTGGACGATACCCTTGGAGTGTTGCCGTTTTTTGTAACAGGGTTGGTTACCTACTTGGAGTTACTACCCCCAAGTTTTTCTTAATTTAAGACTTGTGTTATTGCTGTCTATTACTTTCCTTTATAAATGTAAGTGCGTTGTTAACGCTCAATGAGTAGTCGGCTCACTTTTTTCCTCATTTCCACATCTCTTCATTCTATCCCAATGTGCCAATTTTGGGGGAAAATTTGGCACATTTTGGGGAAATGGCACAAAAACCCCAAAATTCCCCCAGATCTGGGGAAATCCCCAAAGTTGGGAGCTTGGGAGTACACAATATACCTTCTGGTTAAACCTGAAGCAGTGGTGCGGACGTCCGCACCTTCAATTGACTCTTTCAAGAGAAGACTGGGCACTCACAGAAGCATACTAGAAAAGGAATAACATAGGCCGTAGGCCTTCTGTCCTTACTACACAAATCTGAACCACTACAGTATCAGGCGTTCGGGGTGTCATTTTGTCAACTTCTTGTCCTAATCATCAGATTATTTTCACCACATACTAAGGGCATTCTATAAGCTCTCTGAGTTGTCGGCTCACTTTATCAGTGATGAAGAACTAGTTTCCCCTTATTCCTAAATTCTGCTTCTAACTTCTGACCCTGACTCCCCACACTAATTTATTGCTATATTTTTATACTTGTAAATGACTAGTTTGTCAAGGGCATTGTAGTGTATTCTGAAGGTCCGCCATTGGTCGTATAGCTCGCCAATCATCTGTGTAGTTATTTGTGGGTCGGGGAAATATAAGATACCGGGGTGGTAATTTTGCAGACCTAGTTGGTTAAGTGATCTGAAATACCACTCAACTATTCATTGTTTACTAGTAGCTCGATATACTTGATATTATTTATACTCAGCTTCATATTAAGTTGAACAACCCACAGATACAGTATTATGTAGAAATAGATGACATAATGCTTAGTACGTATTAACATTGGATCAGACTTCACCCATGACATCAACATAATGGAAAATCTACAGAAAGATGAAACTAACATGATTGGACACTGCAATGATGAGAAAGGTTTGTAGTTCGGATGGATGCTTTTGATTGTGTTATGGTCTCTGAGCTTGGTGACTGTTACTAAGTCTTCATTTTCGTTCTGGTCATCATCCATACTTCTACGTGTGAGAGTGTATTTCTCTTTTTGTCGTCTCAAGTGAGCCAGTCATAGTTCCTTTAGTTTTGTGGATCAACGGTGTTTCTATTTTAGTATTGTGTTCTGATAAAAAAATCCAAGGTACCAGATATTTTCATCATATCTCTCGAGCAACAAAAGTATGGATACCTTAAACAACTTATAACACTGCCACTTAAGCTTTTGTTTTGCATTTCTTTTCGTTGTGTGAGGTTATTAAATATAGTTTACTCTTAAAGTGATTATTTCTTGACCGTTTTAACTTTTAATTTAAAAACCACTCGTTCTAGATGAATAAGGTTATGTACAATCCAGGACGTATTCAACTGTTCAATCTACTGAACGGAATATTATGCGTTTATAAATCACCTGGGTTGAATGTTGAAAAATTAACCAGAAATGTGAAATGCTCATTGGCAGATGGTTCGTCACTTTATATAAAATCAATTGTTCTTTTTCCCAATAGCTTTTAATTCACTTCCAGCTGAAAAACAGTCGATCAGAACGATCATTCAGACATCCGGTGATGTCAACTGTATTCTACCAAAAATAATTACAGAACCTGATATTGTTGATAGTGATCTTGGTACTTGAGTAATGTATTTCATTTATTTATTTATCTAATTCAAGTATTGGGTAAACGTTTTCTTCCAGGAGATATTATGTTATATCCTATTGATCCCCTTAGTGATTTTATGTCTGGTGTGCAAGGTGAGTTTTGTGTTTATTTATGTTTGTTTATTTAATAGTCTATGGTATTGGAGAAGATGGTATTTACAATTATGCTGATCAGTTCGAACAATCTTCTTGGCTTAAAACCTATCACTTAACATGCATGATGGGACGTGCATCAACTGATGGAACAGCCAGTAGTACAACATTACTAAGAGCTTCATGGAGTGAGTGATAACTCCTAAATGATATTTAAGAGTAAATTCTTAATTTTGTTTGGAATCTCATCTATCTGTGGTTGTTTTTCCTGGAGTAGGCCATTGAAAAATAGACCTTTGTTAGACTGTTTCAGACAGGTCGCAATAGCATAAATACTTTCGTTTTTATGTTTCACTGAGTCCTGAGCACTTTTTTCCTGCAGTCTCACTTCTTAATTGTTTACTTAATGTGGTCACTCACTTTAAATTACATAGTGTTTGTGTATTGTTGAGTTAATGAGTGAGTTCGACACATTTACCATTTATTATTAAGCTAGACTAATATGATTGCGAAATCTGCCTTTTCGGCAAAATCTCTTTCAGTATAGCTCAAAAGTATGTAAAAAAGGTGATCTAGTAGCATTGTGACCGAATTTCGGGTAAAAAGTACATAAAGCCGAAAATCTATTCACGTACATACATCTATGCAAGACTAGATCTCTGGCAACTTGAACCGATGCATATATGTGCCTGGTCCTACGTTGTAGCTGACTGACTGAGATCTCTGTATACATTGTATGACTTACCAGAAGGTTTTCTTATCTACATAGCCTAGAAGGATTAACTCGGTCTAGGGCGTGGGTTCGAATCCCACCTCCATCACATCCTTTGTGTGGCGCATATATATTCGGCGCACTCCTGTACCAATATATGTGTTCAAATAAACAAATAATAAACAGGTGATATATAACAGTTTGTGAATAATCCAACCAAAATTTAAATAGTATCATGCGAACACTTTCATCTTAAAACGTAATACATAGCGCATGCGTTGATGATGCGTAGGTTAAAGTAAGCCATGACTACCTAGTGAACGAAGACTGATATATCTAGCTATATTAGCCATGAGTTTATGTAAGACTGATTTCACTTGTGTTCCGCTTACTGACTGCTCTTAACTTTGTGCCTGTAAACTATCGTGTGGTTTTATCTGGCTTTCAATCGGTTGTCAGATAATTGAGTAGAGTGCATCACATGATTAAGTATTGTGATCTCTATATCGATCAAATCATCGAGCGACCAGTCTAGAGTTAATTTATGCCGATCTGTGTATCGAGTGTCTACTATCGGATAGTCCAGTCAGTCAGTCAGTAACAACGTAGAACTTCGTACGTACGTACATCAGTTCGAGTTGCCACACCACATTAGCACAGAGATGCAGTTGTCGATTCAGATCCCGTAGTGGTAGAGGTAATAAGAGTATAAGCAGTAATCGGGAAGATTAGGGTTTGGAGATGTTATTTAAAGAGTATAATCCAGTGAAATAAATTTGGAAAGAGGAAAAAAGGGACATGAAGAATTCAGAAGATTAGAATTTGGGAGAACACAGAGAGTGGATGCACCTGCGCCATTGCAAACGATTTTGAGCCATGTCATTCAAGGTCTCTAACCATCGGTTGCCATCATCTCGCGGTCCCCAACCAGGTAGTCTACACTTACCAACATGACTCCGTCCACTTGTCAGTGACTTCATGGACTTGTGCCATGCTTTGGTCTGACCGCCCCTAGCTTTCTTCCAACCTACTCCTATACCACTGAACATAGCACGTCGAGGTAGTCAGCGGTTGAGCATACGTAACACATGTCCCAGCCATCTCAACTGATGAAGTTTCACTACTTCATCAATTGATTTGCCATCCTTACCTAGTACCCGTTTCCTAACAATTGCATTACTTACTCGATGATTCCAGGATTTACGAGCAATGTTTCGAAGACACCTATGATCAAATACTAGTAACCTACGGATATCCTCTACTCTTACCGGCCATGTTTCACTGCCATAAAGTAGGACGGAACGAACTGCTGCGCAGTAAACACGTCCTTTGGTTGATAGACGGATATCTCGCCTACGCCATAAATGACGCAAGTTGGCAAAAGCTAGTCAAGCCTTCTGTATCCGTGCTGAGATTTCGTCACACACTAAATCACAAGGGCTGATGAGACTTCCAAGATAAGTGAAGCGGTCGACACACAACTACTTCACTCCCTATCACTAGTTCGGGTGTGGATGTAACCCAATCCTGAAGCAACATTTTGCATTTCGAGGGAGAGAATCGCATCCCGAACATGCTTGCATTGTTGCTTAGAGTGGTCAGAAGACTGCATTTTGTCAGCGTCTTCACCAAACAGAGCTATGTTACCGGCATATTCTAAGTCAACAATTGAACCTCCTGGTAGAAGTTCAACCCTTGGAAATTTAGATGAGGAGAGTGTTATCTCTAAAAGTACGTCGACCACAAAGTTGAACAAGAATGGGGAGAGTGGACAGCCCTGACGAACACCACTTGAGGTAATCAATTCTGATGACAGTTCGTCATAAGCTCTCACTCTACCAGTTGTGTTCGAGTAGAGATCCTGTATAAGGTTAATGTACTTCTTTGGTACTCCTTTCAGTGACAAACACTGCCATAGAACCTCACGGTCAACAGAGTCGAATGCCGCCTTAAGGTCGGGAAATACTACCATTGTGGGGCGTCTGAATGTGTGTCTGTGTTCTAGAACCTGACGTAGTGTGAATATCTGATCTATACAACCACGTCCAGGTCGAAAACCGGCTTGGTTTTCTCTAATCTGCTCTTCACGAGCTTTGATTAGGCGTCGAAGTATTATTGAAGCTAATATTTTAGACACTATATTAGTCAAACTGATTCCTCTGTGATTGTTACAAGAGGACTTTTGTCCTTTCTTATAGACTGGCACAATCAGTGATTGAGACCAGTCAGATGGGATTACGTCCAGTTCCCAAATTCTACCTAAGACCTCGGTTAATCTCATTGCTAATACTGGACCACCATCCTTAAAAATCTCAGGAGGAAACCTGTCAGGGCCTGCTGCTCTCCCTCGTTTCAGATTTCCTATGGCTTTTTCAACTTCGTAAAGGGACGGAGGACCTACATTAACTTGCCATTCAGGTTGACTAGAGATCGTGGGAAACCGAAGTGTGGCTGAAGGCCAGTTGAACTGATCCCTGAAGTGTTCTGCCCATCGATCCAATCTCCTGGATTGAGAATGAATATGTCCATTTTTCTCTGAGAGTGTTTCGCTAACGGTTGGGTTCCTAATTCCGGTTTCCTTAACGAGTTTGAACAATTGTCTGCTATTACCTATTGCCGCTGCCTTTTCCATCTCTCTTGCTTTCGCTACCCACCACTGTTCGCGATCATTGCGTAGACTTCTTGTCAGCTTGCGCTTAGGCTGACTCCGCTCTTCATTATGTTCAGAGCCAGGTGGAATGAGTTTCCGAGCATCTAACAGTGAGATAGATGCTGCTGAGATCCAGTGTTGCTCCCTAACCTTCTGGTTTACCTTACTAGCAGATATCACTGCTGTTCCCACAGCTTTTCGGATATCATTCCATGCTGCCTCAGGGTGGGCATCACATACATGGCTGCCTAACTGTTTTCCTAGTTGTTCCCCAAATATACTCTTAGTTTGACTATCATTAAGTAGGGCTGCGCTTCTCTCCCTCTAAATGCAAGTTGTTGCTTCAGGACTGGTCTGGGTCAACACCTGAACTAAGGATAGGAAGTGAAGTAGTCGAACGCGTTGACAACTTCACTTATCTTGGAAGTCTAATCAGCCTTAATCGGTTGATGTCTGACGAAATCTCAGCACGGATTCGAAAAGCTCGTTTGGCTTTTGCCAACTTACGTCATCTTTGGCGAAGGCGAGATATCCGTCTATCAATAAAAGGGCGAGTATACTGCGCGGCAGTTCGTTCTGTTTTACTTTACGGCAGCGAAACATGGCCCTTAAGAGTAGAAGACACCCGTAAGTTACTAGTATTTGACCACAGATGCCTTAGAAATATTGCTGGCATCTGCTGGGATCACCGGGTAAGTAATAGTGAGGTTAGACGCAGGGTATTAGGGAATGATGGTAAATCAGTTGATGAGGTTATGAATCTTCATCGACTGAGATGGTTGGGCCACGTATTACGTATGCCTGAACACCGATTACCACGACGTGCAATGCTAACCGGGGTAGGGGATGGTTGGAAGAAAGTTAGGGGCGGCCAAACCAAAACGTGGCATCAGTGCCTGAAGTCACTAACTTCTAGTCTGAGCCATGTTGGTAGATGCAGACTACTTGGTTGGGGTCCGCGTGACTTTCGTAACCAATGGTTGGAGGCTCTTGGTGACATGGCTCAGAATCGATCACAATGGCGTCGGTGTATACACTCCCTGTCTTCTTTTAAACTAAGAGACTAAAATCACTTCATTCTTTCTGTCTACGAACTAATTCTTTCTTCCTATACTATATCCTTATTGCAACCTTTGACCTAACCACTCCTATGAATCCGCTGTTCATCTTGCTGTGCTAATGAGGTATGGCAACCTGGACCGATGCACATATGTGCCTGGTCCTACGTTGTAGCTGACTGGACTGACTGACTGTCCTATTTGGCAAAGTGTTCGTACGTTAAAAGCTCCTACGTGTAGTTTAGAGCGTGGTTTCAGGAGACCAGGGATGGCGTTCCACGTACTAGAATCGTTTGCCCTAGCGGTGCGAGGTGATAAAGAGACGTGAAGAGGGTTAGTCATGGAGATAAGAGAGGTATTAGGAGGTGTAGGGAGGATTTGAATGTGACCACCTTGGTCTCTTGTGCTGTTACGGGTATGAGGGCTGATGTCACTTTCCGGCTGCCCACACCGTGGAAGGGTATTTCTTTAGGAACCTGAAAAGGAAATTGGATTAGTGTTGGTCTCAAAGACCTGGGAGCGTGACCGCAGAGCCCAAGGGACAACTGCTTGAGGCCGGTCGCGCACGGCCTTTTTGTGGAAGGTTTTTGACGTGTTAGCTCCGTTCTTCAAAGGGCCTTACCGCCGGAGACGGAAATCCGTGAGGTGTGACATTTTTAGGGTCGACCTTTTCTAACCCCACCCCTCCTTGTGGGAAGGCAGCATCGCTGTCATGCTGGTTGTCTGACGGAAACACCTTACTGCTGTCACACCTCTGTACAGTGAGCAGTACGACTTCGCCCTCAGACCTTGAGTTGCTGCTTTTAGTCTTACCGTTCACCAATCGACCTTCCTGGCATGGTAGAACCTGCAGGAACATATGTTCCAGCCAATATAGCTCGGTTGGGTCATCACGATAGGCAAGCCCGACCACCGCGTCAAGGTAGCAGCTTCGATCGGGTGTCCAGCACATAATCAATCGAATTCATTCCCAATATATCAATTAACCGCTATACTTTTGAGAACCTCACAACTATTATTCGTACATGCCATGGTGTATATTGTTTTCCTGTTTTCAAACGGGAAACGTGTTCTTAGCCTATGAAAAGAAAAAAAAGTGACCGTTATATTACAAAATTGGTAATATTTAGTAATTTTATGTAACCTACATTTATTGAACATTAGTTTCTGTTATAAAATTGGTTCTCTTTACGGATTGAAATCAGCTGGTAAGTTGTGTGAGGAAGGAGTAATCACATAACCCAGTAAATTAGTTACACTTGTTAGTTCTAACATTTCAATCCTGTGGTATTGAAAATTGAGTTCATACATTGCATGCCCCAGGCATGCAATCCGCACTTAATCAGTTAACAATCAGTGTCCGTAGGTATGGTATGTGCTTTGCACCTTCGAAGTGGAAAGTACTCCTACAAGACTGGCAGGATTCCAATCCTATACTCACCCTGGATGGTGAGCAGATAGACGTAGTCGAGAAGTTCGTGTATTTGGGTAGCTGCATAAGTGCTAGTGGGGGTGTAAGTGATGAGATCAATGCACGAATAGTGAAAGCCAGAGCGGCTTATGCCAATCTGGGCCACCTTTGGCGCCTTCGTGATGTTAGTCTGGCCGTAAAAGGTCGGATCTACAACGCGTCGGTGAGAGCAGTTTTGCTCTATGCTTGTGAAACCTGGTCTCTCCGAGTTGAGGACGTTAGACGACTCTCTGTGTTCGATCATCGCTTTCTCCGAAGGATTGCTGACATTCAGTGGCAACACCATGTCAGTAATGCAGAGGTTCGGCATCGTGTGTTCGGTCACAGAGACGATAATTCAATTGGTGTCACCATCTTGAAACACCGACTTCGGTGGCTTGGACATGTTCTCCGAATGTCGTCCCAGAGAATTCCACGTCGTGCATTATTTGCCGACTCTGGGACTGGTTGGAAGAAGCGGAGAGGTGGTCAGTGCATGACATGGTGTCGTGGTATGAAAGAAAGCTGCAAAGGACTGGCTTGTGTTGGTCCTTCACGACTCCCTGGTTGGGGTCTGAGAGATGGTGCTACACTGTGTCTAGAGACGTTATCAGATATGGCTCAGAATAGAAGCCAGTGGCGATCCTGCTGTAACCTTCTTTTACTTTCTTCATAAAAAGTGGTTGTGTCTCCTTTACCTGAAAGATTTCTTCTGATTGTACCTTTCCGTTCCCTCGTTACTACCACACTACCTTACACCAATCTCTTCGTTATTGTTCTCTTTTTCTTTTGCGCTCCTTAGTTTTTTTTTCTATTTCTCTTCGAATTCTCATTGCTTTGTGTGGCGCATATATATTGGCGCTCTCTTGTACCAATATTCATGTGTTCAAATAAATAAATAAACATTGTTATTGATCTAAACGTCTAGGACTGCCCAGCTCAATTAATTCAAATTTCTGTTGACTAATATCAGCAAAATGTGAATTCAGATATATTTTTAGTGCATAAATTTTCTGTTGTCTTAGTCTTCTGTCTTACGTTGCGCTGTATTAGTTTCTGCTCAGTTATAACACTTAAAGCCACTAGAGTTAATCTCATTGTATCGCAGTTATAAATATGAACTATGGAGTTTCAATCATTAATCTAAATGGCAACATGCCCACCTTATTCACAACTTAATCAACTAAATATTAGTTTGTTAGTGCCCGTTTCGTAAATGTGAATGTGTATGATTTCAACCATTTAATGGTTTTTCTTTTGCATCAGGACATGTTCAAAAATGCAAAATAGATCAGGTTCTTGTTGGACTACAAGCTCAATTCAATGCTTCTGGATTATTACAAGCAGGACTTCGTCCTAATTCACAAAACGCATATCTAGCACTGTGTGGTCGTAGAGCTGGCAGTGATCTTCGTCCGGTAAAACCCACACACGGCGTGGAAGATTATGAAGGAGAGGAACAGTTACTTTCACCATGGGAACGTCCAATGCCGGATGAAAATCGAAATCCCGAAACAATACCTAATCGTAAGTATGAGTGGGAAGAAGAAAGAAGGCAAATGGCACCTTATGTAAATGCGATGTGTTGTGTGGATTTTGATCCTCCGTTTTTTACAATTGGTATGTTGATTTTTATTTAATCCGCAGAAGTTTTTGGGTTTTACAAAATGCTAAGATATTTATTCTGTAGTTTTTGTAAAATGTTATTCTCCTTAGTTATTAAAATGAATCAAATTTTTTCGTATATTTTCATTGGTTATGAACATTTGGTAGGTACAATGGAATGTCAGGAGTTGGTTTTTCACTTTTGATTATGATTACTATTAGCTCAGATATGTTCTATTTCTTCAGAATCTTAGATTTTGTTTTCATTATTAGGCTTCAAATCAGTTATTCGAATGTACTATGTAAATGTCTGTACCCACCAGTTTAGTGCCTAAACGTTTCTGCTCATTCTTTCACTCTTGTTCTCAATATCCCTGTTATATTATTAAAATATATATGATTCCTGTGACTTATTTCATATTTCATATGTATCCAGTTCACTTACCTACGCCTGTCACCCCTCATGAAGGAGCATAGGCCACTGATCAGCATTCTCCATCAAACTCTGTTTTAGACAATTCTTTCCTGTTACTATTTATCCTTTTGATGTCTGCTTCCGATTCTTGACTCAGTGTGTTCTTTGCTATTCCTCTTTTCAGTTTCCTTTCAGGATTCCAAGTTAGGGCTCGTCTCTTGATGCAGTTTAGTGATTTCCACAATGCATGTTCTATCCACCTCCACCATCTTTCCCTAATTTCCTCTTCAGCTGGGAGTTGGTATATTCTCTCACACAGTTGGCTACTGCTGATGGTGTCCGGTCAACAATCGACATTGAGTATCTTGTGAAGACAATTGTTTATAAATGCCTGTGCCTCTTTGATGATGGTTGTAGTAGTTCTCCAATTTTCAGCTCCCTACAGTAGAAACGTCCTAATGTTCGCATTGAACAATGGGACTTTGATATTGGTTGATGGTATTTCTAGTTCCGTATGTTTTTCAACTGTAGGAATGCTGCCCTTATATTGTCAATCCTCGCCTTTACGTCTGCATCGGGTCTTCATTGTTCATCGATGATACTGTCCAGGTGCGTGAAAATTTCAACATCCTACAGAGTTTCCTGATTAGGTGTGATTGGGTCGCTATTCTTCGTATTATATTTCAGGATCTTGGTTTTCCCCTTGTGTGTGTTGAGGCCCATTGATCCAATGTGTTGTGACTTTATGTCCGGCTAGTTATCACGTGATTTATCCACCTTTCAAAATACGACTTATAAAATCTTAGCACTGTGCCAAACCAATGATCTTCGACCGGTATGATCTGCCTAGCGTCCTTATTGGTCCTATGTTATTATTATTATTATTATTATTATTATTATTATTATTATTATTATTATTAGCTTTATTCAATATTATAATTTTGGTACAATATAGAATTCTCAGCGCAAAGTATTTCAACAAGTTTCCGTTTCTTTCTTCTTGGTCGGTCCTGGCGATAAATATTGAGGGATCGCCAGTTAGATGTTAGCACTTCAGTGAATGAACAACTGAATAATGTACATTCTTTTAGTTGTATATTGCCAACAACCATATTGTCTCTTATTGAGTTTTCTGTAACTTTGACAACGAAAGGTTGTACACTTTTCAGAAACGCAGCAGAATAGGTTATGCGATTAATAAGCATAATATATTAAAACAAACAACAATAGATAACTTGTTGAAATATCTAGATGGCAGGAACAGGTAGCCCAGATGCTCAAGCAGGCCGCCTAACCCGTCCACTTGAGTCCAGAACACCAATACCAGCTTCCAATATGCGAATCGAATCATTTATTTCAGACATACTGGGTTTATATATCAACCAAACAAACCGCAACACATTATAAAATAGGAAATAACATTCATACACAATAAAGCCAAAAAGTGGCTGTGAACGTGGGAGGCAGTAGTCAGTAAACTGAACGTAGCTTAAAAACAGTAAATCGTACAATAATAAAATATAAATCAAAATAAAGCTTATGGCAGGGGGAATATAGATATACATAATCTAGTTGCTGAATATTTTTACCATAAGAATATTTAAATAATATTAGTTCATTAATATAAACCCAGTATATTTAAGATATTTTTGATTAAGATCATGAATTGATTGATGTTAGACCATCACAATTGAAAACCTGGAAGCACTGGACGGCCGTTTCGTCCTATTGTGGGACTCCTCAGTAGTGCGCATATGATTTGCATAGTGAAAGCTGTTATTGGTGTTCTGGACTCAAGTGGACGGGTTAGGCGAACATAAGACCAATAAAGACTCTAGGCTGCTCATACCGGTCGAAGATCATTGGTTTGGCACAGTGCTAAGATTTTACGTGATTTCTAGGGGCCCATAAAGACACAACTATGACATCGAAACGTAAAAAAATACAACAAACATTTGTGCATCAAACTAAATCTTACAAGTTTCAGTATGCAAAAATACAATAGTTTTAGTATTTAATGTTTGTATAACAAGAATATGAACATTAACTTCATATAGAACAGTTCCATACGTTTAACTTTACCGAATACGTATTTCAACATAGCAGTTTTGTTGTATGTAATGAAAAGTTCAAAATGTTGATAAATTTACTACTTACAAAAGGACTTACTGATTTTGGTAATAGTTGATATTCTTAAGTGAAGAAAAAAACTTTCTGTAAGCTCATAGAAGTCGTTTGATTTGGTGGAAGGCGGCGGATACAGATTAACTTGGGTTTTTTTTCCTTAAACTGCATAGCAATAATGCATTACTTAAATTAGTATTTTATTTACACAGTCCCTCCACATGTTCTTCTTTTTCAAAAAAACAACAACAACAAAACAATAGAAATTCAAGTTACACATGAAACATTGAAGTTTTTCACTGATTTAGTTGCTAATCTTGGTCCAAAATTACGTACAGCTACTTTATTATCAAAAGTTAGACGAGTTAGACATGGACCAATCACAGCGGAAAATTCATTACTTATGAAACATTTACATAATATACCTATTGAATTTCATCATGAATTTATTCAATGTATCAATGATATATTAATACAATATAAAAAACATGATAAAAATTTATCTATACCATTAGAAATGGATTTTATAGAAGATTTGAATTTATTAGAACATTTAATGAATCGTACACAAGGTAAATATGGTTATCATGTATTTGAGAATTTGTTTCAATGTAATCAATTATATTCAATAGGATTTGAATGTACTAAACAATATAAATATCATATGGTTCCAATAAATTCTTAATTATTATTGATGATGATTATTTGTATATTCATACAATGTGTACATAATGTTTCAATATATTAATTGTATATAAGTTTCATGTATTATAACTTTCTGTTTATGAAAATCATCATTTTAAGAAAAAATGTTTTGTAAACCTTTGTACGAAATGATTATATTATGTTAGGTAAACTCACTTTGAGAGTCTTTTGCTTGTTTATTATTATCAGTCCTACTCACTAACTTCTCGCGGCATTACAGTTGTTTCCAAAATTGAGAGGACGAAAAGCAAACGTCCGGTGCTTTAATCGAGTTAGTGGATACGGAAGATCCACCTAGAAAAGTTGGAAAACCCTAATTCTAAACCAATGGTGTACATGGGCTCCAAGATCCTAAGGAAACATGACGTATGAGCCAATTATTGATCACGAGCTACCATGTGACTGCATCCTTATGTTGCTCCACTGTCTTGTGGATTAGACCTTTAGATGAAAGGTTTGAGGTGTTGCCCTCTAAGAAAACCATCTTTTTCGCTTTGAGCACCTGGGCAATATCCCAGCCCTCACACAATTCGAATGAATGATATATGTGGCTCATATCTGTTTGGTGCCTCCTTGTACCAATGTTTATATGTTTAAATAAATGAATATAAAATTATTATCAGTAAATGAAAATTGCCTATAAGCACCAGTATTTTTTAAAAATGCATATGACAATCAAGTAGAAAGTGAAGTATGTATGCACTGAATGATAACTATTCTACATTAGTTAATTAATAAAATCCAAGAAAATTATATCATTGGGTGTTGGTAGCAATTTAGGGCCAGGATTTTGACTGGTGACTTCACGCGGGTTATGGGTTCAACAAGGCATAACAGAGATTCACTACTGAATGCGATAGAAATGCATAATATCACTTAAAATCCGCTTTAGCTAACAAACTGTAGCATTTGTACTGCACGCATCTAACATCGAGTATGATATGATAATTCCAGCTCAGTGAGTATCTTACAAGACTGGTATCGATGTAACTTTAAGAGCCTTTTAGGACTTTTCGAATGAATGTTTGACAGAATCCCTTCACGTACAAACTCCTAGATGTAACTCGTTGTTTTGCTTTCTGAAATGAAGTTACTCTTAGATGGTGGTTGGAGGTAGTCGACAGGAAACCCGGGTTTCGTGCTACTTGGGACTCGTCAGCAAGGTGTACCTGTAATCCCGAGGGAACTGGTGCTTCCTGGTGGATTCGATCTCGTGTCACCCAGCTTCACAGTCAGACGTTACCACTGAGCCATTCAGGGTTTCCTGTCGACTACCTCCAACCAACATCTAATCTCAATATATAGTGCCCGCAGTGTCGAGTCACCTAGACTGGTGGCCACATTGCAACATGATCGATAGCATTCGATCTGCACTAATAAGGACTAGACAAGGATGACATTGATCGCCACCCAGTGATCAATCAATTGTGATGAAGTTACTCTCCTTGATTCCATACATGCATTCCTTTTATCCTTTAATTACAGATAACACGGTTAAAGTTTATTTCTTATTGTAGCCTTTGTTTTTTAGTCGTTCCTACTGACTTTTTAAGATCCTCGTTATCTATTTCTACGTTGTTTTACTTTCTCCTGATTATAAATGCTGCCATATCGATTTGTTCCCTCTCAGATTGTTTCACTTGAACAGATTGAAATTGTGAATTGAGGCACACTTTCATAACTGGAAACGCACTGCTATAACGAAGTTAAGTAGTACTTTTTGAAAATACGATATTCCCAGATGAAATAGAATAATGTTCTTGCATTAGCAAAACACCAATTTTTGTAACTGAATGGGTTATTATACTGTACTGAACATTTAATAGTTGACATAATGGGCGGTGATATTTGTATTGTACAGTTAACTCCAAACGAACGAAGATTGGAGTTAGTAATAACACTGGATGTTAGTTCAAATGCTAGATCTTTAACTTTAACTGGGTAGGAGTACTCCATAGTTTGATGTACAGCTGTCAAGACACATTGAGGCTGCTGAATCTGATGATATGTTCCTTTTTGGGTACGCCACACCCAATCTTTCATCTTCAGCAAACGTGCGTGCATAAGAGTTAATTGTTGAAATGGGACTGAAGACATCAAAATGTTTATGTATTAAATGCCTATAAGGTATCGGAAATTCGCTTAGTTGGTTGTTTGGTTGACGTCAGACCTTTCTAGGCTGAAATTATACTTAGGTCGCCACTTTCTCACATCAGGATTAATTCGTGGCTAAACAAAACATTCTCTGATGAAAATTGTAGTTGTTTGGATACCGGGATTCGTTAACTCATGAAGGTTTTGGAATAAAAGGATGATTATTACCATCAGAGACATTGCAGATGACAGATTCTTTCCAGTATGTGTCATATGCTTGTTAATTAGCCATGTTTTCAAGATTGATATCGTTTTGTCATATTAGAGTATTGGTTTATCTTCATGATAAGGTATCTGCTATGATACTAGTGTGTCCCCTGATGAACCGGGAGTCGGTTTAGAAATGGAAGTTGTCGTTTAGTTGTCTAGCTATTCGAGGCGAATGCCGATCGTACGATGAAGAAATAACGTCAGGGATGATAACCGGTAATTATGGTAAACTTCCACGTAAGATCTTATAGATTAGGCAGTTATATCATGACGAATCTACAAATTTTGGGAATAGGTCTATTATTAGAGCAGTACTAATATCATAGTAGACCATAATTCTACAAACTCACGTCCTTGTAATGAGGGTCTGAAATGTTTGGGAACTAAATACATCGACAGTAATCCAACCCCTTAGGCTAGGCTGCGTGTTTGTCGGGCAATAATCGGTTAAAAAAGGAGCACTAAATGTTTAGTAACGTTGAATTTCTTTTGAAAAACTGTCTCCCGTTTGCGAGACATCGTTGCACATGATAAAAAGGGGTCGTATGATTTAAGTTTAGATAGGACACCATAGTGGCATCCTGTCTCACTGTCTTTCAAAGTATAGGACGGGAAACTGATAACTTCACTTTCTTTCGTCCTCATCTTAACGGAATTCATATGGCTCTAATGTTTATGAACGGAATAGAAGAAGCTTTCGCCTAGCGGGCTCCCGTAGCCAGTAGTAGTGAATCACCGATATCCCCATTCTGGGATCTGGGTATTTTTGACGGTAAAAGAGAAAAAATGCTCGCGACTTAGAACGAGATACTGACATGAGTCCATAAGCATATGACATGTTTTTTTTGAAGAACTCCTGAGAAGTTACTTGGACCACCCCAGCCGTTAGCGAACTCCGGATTTTAATTGCACAAGAGTAGTAAATTGCGTGCCTAAAGTCGGTTGGGGTATGCTGTGTTGGGACTAAGCTTAAGCAGGTATTTAGAAGTATTTAGGATTTTCTACGTCATTAAAAGGTCAGCCCTAATACGCCCTTCCTCTAATGCGTAAAGGTTCAGTGATTGAATGTGCTCTTAATAAGACTTGAATTTGATACCATGAACTGGTTTCGTGGCTCGTTGAATACGTTCCAGAGTGTTCTTATTTTTTGGAGTGAGGGAGGAAACACTATCTTTCCGTTCTCTAGATGGGGACAAATAAAACTATTGGAAATTATGTAGGAAATCCTTCCATCGAACTTCTACTTTACCAGTGCAAGATTTGCTCGGTAGGCATTTTTGTTGAAGTTGATGTAAGACCTCAGACAGCAGGGTACTAGCACCTATAGATCCTTTCCAACTTGGGATGCATCTGAAAGGTAGCTATCAAAGTTGTGGTTGTAGTCTGCAACATGTCTCTGTCCGTTGTTATCTTCCCAACCTTGAAGTCAACTCAGATCTTCTTCAATTTCCATCTTATCATTTTGGCTGTAAGCTACACATTGTCAGTGAAAATTACTGCCAGAATACAGTTGGTGAGGGAGGTCGCTTATATAAATCAAGAAGAGAATAAATCCTAGTTCTAAGCCCTAAGGGCTCCTACTAGGATATTTTGTGGCCCAAAGAAATGTTACGATTACCCTGACTCTAAAATCTCGATCGTTTAGTTATGAAGTAAGCCAATCTCTTGATACCTAATGGTTTGAACCTCCTGATGACACATATGTAGTTGACCCTATCAATAACTTCTGAGAAGTTAATGCGAAAAATATCAACTCTCCTTAAGCGACTAAAGATTATTGTCCATCTGTCCACTGCAGTCAGCAGGTTGGTTGAAATGCTTAAAAACACTGTTCTGCCAAAAGATCAGCCTTTAGGGCCTAACAACTTAGAAACCCTGGTTTTGGCTCGTTTAGGTGGGGCTGCACTACAGAATAAACTTTCGGATTGAAGACAAATTGATCGATTAGTTTGGCTGGAGAAGAATGAGTAGATTGGTCTGTCCAGATGTTAGAATAACATATGTGGGCTTGACATGTCGCCAACCACTACAAGGTACCCTATAGAAAAAAAACATCTCGCTGAAAAATGTCTCACACGTATGAGATGCGTTCTTTAAACCGAATATTCTGAATATTCAGAAGGAACAAGAAGGGATTTATGGAACTTCGCAACTAAGAGCTCCACAATCAGAAAGTAGATCCCAAAAACAAATTGTTCTGAAGCTTAATTGAGCATATTTAGTGGGCAGGTGCTCATATTTTGGGAGGTAATTGTCAGCTAAATACACATCAAAGCTATAATTTAAAGAGTCAATTGTCGCTGTTTGTGACTCGGACTAAACTGCTAATAAACTCATCGCAGTTTCGAGAAGTGTGAAGGAACGATGTCTTACCTTCCAGGTTTAAGTATATACCTTTGTTCTTTTAAAAAAGCTTCTTATAAACTTTTCTGTATTTTTTCTCGGAGTAATTGAGGGTTGAAGAGTGCAGCATAACATTCATTCCAACGTACAGTTCTACAAACCGCGCGTAGTTTGCGCTTGGTGACACGACTGCAAAATCTCAAGGTTTACTGTGCCTATATTTTCAAGGAAGATCCCGAATCAAGACCATTGAGTTGCGCAACATTTTGATGGAAAATAAAAGGACTGGTTTTAGCGCCCTTGGATTTCCTTATCCATTATATGTTGTTGACGTTCTGGATCGAAA